TAATAGCCAGCTGTAAATCTTGGTAATTCTGTACCAGAGGCGTATTGTAAAACAGGAATGTGCAAGTGTGTAAGTACATGCATGAAAATGCACTGCTTCTTAAAATAGCAGATACAGCAGTAATATTATGTATGGAAAAGCTATTGGGAGCAATTTTAGAGGTGTTTTAAAATATTTTTGTCTCCATCAAAGTCTGCACCACTTGTGGTATCTTCATAATCCAGCATCACAAGTACAGGTCTATGAGTAACAAAGGCTTGTTTCTGGAAGTCAAGATTTTCTATAAAGATCTATGAACTCTACCACTGGTCCTGAGGCAGTGTAGGGAATTTATAGGCTTTTTGTTGAGATGAATCAAATTATTCACTCAGATACATGCTAGTCACGAATCAGACTATCTCAAATTCATGGCCTGATGGCTCGCCAACCTCCTGAGCGCCTTCTTGATTGGTGGCATTAATTCACTTGGAAGAACAGGGAAAAGCAACTCACCTTCAGAGTATCCTATATCCCATACCATATTCCATACCATCCTGAGTATATCCTTCTGAGGAGCTGGGAAATGTGAGTTTAAATCCCCACAGCCTGGGAAAGGGACTGCATCTACTTTCTAGGTCCCTCTTCTGATCTTTAGGCCATTTTGCAAAAGGGAACATCAGTGCTTCCTCTTCTTGTTTGTTTGAAAAGAGGAAACTGATCTGGGAACACGTACTAGTGACATCTATATCCAAAAAGAGGTTGCAGGCCATGCATCCCAACCTCACATAGGCATGCAGGTGCTGGCTACACTGCATCCCATCTAGATGCCTTTCCGTGGTATGCAAAGCATAGGGAACTCTGATTTGTGAAACCTACTTGCAAGCTAGACAAGAAGTTGTCTTGGTGAATTGAGACTGAAGTGACTTGCCAGGGTCATGTAGCAGGTGGTTGGTGCAATGGGAAATTGAGTTGTGGTCTTCCAAATCTCAACTTTGTGGCCAAACCACTGAATCGACTTGTGGAGAAGCCTTTATCCTTGTTGGCGAGCCCCATTTTTGAAGCAGCCTCTTGCTGCTTTATGAAGAATAGAGTTTTTCCACTACCTTTGTTTCATGCCCATCGACAGAAAAAATTTAACAGAAGTTAGCACCAGTGCGTTTTTGGTCAAAAATAGACAATATCTATAGTTTACCATGTGGCTTAGCAAGTTATTTGATTGCTATATATAAAGATACCTCTGTAAAAAATGGGAGGAGGTGGCAGAAAGTGTGTGTTTTTTAATATATGGTGTATTAATGTAAAATATAGATAGTATGATGAGAAAAAAAACATGAATAATGGTGCATAACTCAGACCTGGAACAGTTGATGGAGATCACTCCCCTGCAAACAGTTTTTACTCTTTCTACAAAGAAAATGGCGGAAAATTAAGTAATGAGGTGGGACTCGGGGTAATTTACATCATTTGAACTATAAATAGGAATTTCTTTCCTGTTAGCTGTACCTCAGACTCACTAAAATCGGGAACAGTATGAGGAGAATAATCTCCATCGGGTGGAGGAAAGAGCTGTGCAGTCAATACTTACCTATTATGTATTCAGCAATGGCTTGCAAAAATTTGAGAAGAAAAAAGAAACCAGTTTACCCTTGAAAGAGGCAGAAAGATGATTTCTGTTGGATTTTGCTGTAATATTAAATGTTTCCTTCACAAAACACTTTCTGGATTTAAGTGATATCTTAAGCTTGAAACCACTGTTCACTGGACCTTCCATCAGGGCAGAAGAATCAAAATTTCATTGGGCTTTCATGGTAGTGCACTGTAGCACAGTTAAGATCCATCCAAGAATTAGCAGTGTCCACACCAGACTAGTTTTTGCAGTCTTTTATCAGGGCAGAGGCTTAGTTCATAGGTCTTCAAGATATTTGGGAAAAATAGTGCTGATTTGTGAAATCTACTTGCAAGCTAGACAAGACGTTGTCTTGGTGAATTGAGACTGAAGTGACTTCCCAGGGTCATGTAGCAGGTGGTTGGTGCAATGGGAAAGGGACTGCATCTACTTTCTAGGTCCTGTATAATGATGTACAGCATAAAGGGAGCAGTGCTACTTACTGAATGTAGCATCATTGCTGGTGTGATAGAAGAATAACTGGTGCTGAGCTGTATTTATTTCTGAATGCAAGATCTGTTAGGTTATCTTAACTACATGATGAATGAGTTGGGATGATTACAAGAGCTGATGGTAACGCTGGCAATTTCCCTCTCTTTTTTTGCAGGTCACTGTCAGGGGATTTGGTCCATTGTTACAGTTTGCCTATACTGCTAAGCTGTTACTCAGCAGAGAAAACATCCAGGAGGTCATCCACTGCGCGGAATTCCTGCGCATGCACAACCTGGAGGACTCCTGCTTCAGCTTCCTTCAGACACAACTGCTGAACAATGAAGATGGCCTGTTCCTGTGCAAAAAAGATACCACCTGTCAGCGCATGCACGATGAGGAGAACTCGGATGGAGATGAGGAGGAGACGATGGAATCGGAGACATCAAAAATATCTTGCCCAAGAGAGAGGATGCACCAAGAGCCCTTCAGTTTTGAAACCACTGTCGCTGGAGCAGACAAAGGGGAAGGGATGCTGCCTGACTCTGACATGCTGAGAGATAGCAAGGACAATTTAGATAAAGATGCAGTAACACGGTACCCCAGATACAAGAAATACCAGCTTGCTTGTACCAAGAATGTCTACAACACATCACACATCAGTACCTCAGGTTTTGCAAGCACATTCAGCGAAGAGAGCTCTGGAAATGGCCTCAAATCAGGACTTGCTATGGGCCAGATAAAAAGTGAGCCTCAGAATGAAGAGAACGATGAAGAAAGCATCACACTTTGCCTGTCTGGAGATGAACCTGACATCAGGGATAAAGAAGGGGATGTTGAAATGGACAGGAAACAGCCAAGCCCCACTTGTGTCGACAGGCCAAAAAGTGGGTCTTCTCCTTCTTGCTTGCGATCTTTCTTCAACAGAACAAAAAGCATGGATTTGGTTGGCTTCCCCAGCACTTCCCAACAGCACTTTGGCAGGAGTCCAGCATGCCCTTTTGAAAAAGGGACAACTCAGGGTGACCACAAAACTGATTACGTCCCTTTCACAGGGAACTATGGACAGTCCCATGCCATGCAGAAGGATGCTTCCAACTTCACAGTGGGATCGCCGCTCAGGGGGCCCGGCTTTGAAACTCTCTGTAAGCAAGAAGGGGAACTGGACAGGAGGAGTGTTATATTCTCTTCAAATGCTTGTGACCAAGTAAACACTTCAGTGCATTCATATTCTGGTGTGAGCAGCTTGGACAAAGACCTCACTGAGACTGTGCCAAAGGGTCTGTGGGCTGGCAGTAGCCAGTCTCTCCCCAGCTCTCAGACCTATTCGCACAGCGGACTGACAGCTGATCACTTGCCAGGAAGGATGCGGCCGAACACCAGCTGTCCAGTGCCAATTAAAGTTTGCCCTCGCTCTCCTCCTTTGGAAACCAGAACCAGGACCTCCAGTTCATGCTCTTCCTACTCGTATGCAGAGGACGGCAGTGGTGGCTCTCCCTGCAGTCTGCGTCTTTGCGAGCTCTCCTCTTCCCCTTGCTCCCAAGGCCCCCGATTCCTGGCACCCGAGCACCAGGAGCCAGGAGTGGTGGGGGATGGATTGTACAACCCGGTCCGAGCCCAGATTAAATGTGAGCCATCCTATGGAACAAACTCCAGCGATGAGTCTGGGTCATTCTCAGAAGCAGACAGTGAATCATGTCCTGTGCAAGACAGAGGGCATGAGGTAGGGATTTAAGATAAGTACATATTACCACAGTTGTTGTGACACAATTAATCGCTCCTTGATTCTCTCAAATGACTTTGCATTTCCCCAGCACTTACTTTGTTTATAGCAGCAAAGAGTAATTTCTGGTTATTCCCTCATCAGCTGAGTGCACGTGATTGACTTCACATAAATAGCTCTGCTTGACCTCTGTGGTGTTTGGCTCTTCTGAAAATTTGGGTTTGGGACAATAGTAAACTGCCGAATGATGTGCACTGATGTGCTTAGGAGTCTGCTGGCAGCGTCCTGTCTTCCTCCCTCCCTTACCCACTTGTGTGACACAAAGCATTGTTCTTTATCCTTAATTTACTGAGGTGGTTCCAGCTCCACCTGTTATTGCTGCTGGTGTCTGAGAAACCTCAGGTTGTGCCTTCGCTGACACTGAGAGTTGAGCAGCCCGCTTGAAGAGCCAGTGCTGCATATTGCTAACAGCCGGAGTAGAGGAGGGAGATAGAGTGGGAGGAGAAAGAGGTGTGAAATTAAACAGTTGCATAGCTGGCCACTCTGGGCTGTGGAAATGGTATTCGAATCATCTTCCCTCTGTCCGTGTGCGCGCGCGCGCATGTGTCACACACACAGGTAGCGTGTTTTTGCCTCCATTATGTGACAACTTAGATCATGTTCCCTGCCTGTGACATTTCGTTTGGTGGTGAGTTCTGGCAGCCTTTGCATAAATGGTTTCAAAGAGAAGTTATTCTTTAATTTCCAGGACTGTTAAGGAAATGACAGGGGAATGATTTGGGGTTGAAGAGTGTCAATTCCCATGTAGTTCTCCCATGAGAGAGAAAAGAGGGGCCACTCTAAAACTAGAGATGGGCCAGCTGGAGATGTTGCAGTGATAACTGACTAAGCGTGATGGAATAAGCTGTCTTTGTGAAGTCACTAGTTTGAGAGCAGGCTTAAATCATGGAGATGTGTTGCAGACCCCAGAAACTGAAAAAGATTGGATGTTTTCATAGAGCTTCATTAGGAAACTGCATGACCTATAGTGCAGGTGGGTGAAATCACATATCAAATTCCTCTAGTAATGCTGAAACACTATATAGCTTGTGCTACAGCAAGTGCAAGTTTGGGGGGTTCATATGCTGTCAGCACCCAGTTCAGAACCAGGTGGGCTTAGTTATGGAGTAGGAATGAAAAGAGTGAACTTTATTCTATTCCTCAGTCCTTATTCCACTACATCCCAGGCTCTGGAAGATATCTTTCAGACAGATGTGGGTGGTTCCTTTAGTTGGCTGCTTAGTTCCGAGAAAGGGTTGAAGAGCCTGGGGAGCCTCTGGTGTCCTAATCCCTGGTCACACTGTACCAATGATTCTGAGAGGACAGTTCTTTGTCCCCATGTCCTCAGCTCGGGACAGTGCAGAAGAGAAAGAAGTCTCCTTGGGAGGCTGCCTGAGATATTGTGAGTAGAACCTCATTCAGGAAGCCGTACAGCAGCTCTGCCTGGCCATACCAGGATTACTCAGTGAAGTCCTGCCTTTACAAGGAGCAGAAAGTAGCAGGGAGTGGGACTGAGACTGAGGGGAGCATCAGGTCTCCACCCATGTGTGGTGATTGCTCAGCAGAGGGTAATGCTCAGCATGAGGCAGCACAGAGGGCGGGAGTTTACCCTTTTTGGGATTGATGATTAATTAGCTGTCATAATTAGGTAATTCTGTGGAGATATGCTGCAGCAGAAGTGAACCTGGAAGAGTGAAATGAGAAGGTTATAGGGGACTGGTGGTGGTTTCCAAAAAAAAAAAAAGGTATGCCAGTATATTCAGGAGACCATGAATGAGAAGAGCAATATTCATGAGAGGAGAAAATAGGAGGCCATCCTGGTGTGCCACTGGCAGACAGACATACCTGGTTCTGGGGCACTGCTAGGAAAGGTTTGTTCCACTCCTGGTTTTGCAGCTGGTTTCCTCCTGGGAAGACTTTCTGCACTGTGCTGAACAAGTTTTCTCCCTGGGACTGCTGATATAGCTTTTTTATTATTATTATTATTTCCTGGAGCATTTTGATTAGGGCTGCTGGGCATTAAAAATGTGGTGAGAAAATTAATGCTCTGTGAGGTTGCACTGCACTATCCCAAATAAGCCAAGGGTAAGCAGATCACGCCAGTGCTTTGGTACAGATTTTGTCTGAAAAGTGATTTTTAAAGGTCATTACCAATGCAAGAAAGGGCATTGCAGCCTCACTGAACAATACTGTATTTATACAGTGACTTCAGGTGTGTATCCTGCAAGATCTGCTGCTGTGGGAACCTCGGTGAAGGATATCTTAAACAAGGCAGTAGAAAATATCTAATAGCAGCAGAAAGTTCTTGTATAAGTTGCTCTACCTACTTTTAGCAGTTTGGCTGCAATTAAAACAGCAGGAGAGACTAACAACCATCTGCAATGGACAGCTTTCTGTCCTTCATCTCCCTGCAAGCTGCATGGGAATCTTTCTCTTTCCCAAAATTGTGGGTTTGCCCTTGCTGTCCTGATGACTTCACAGACAGGCCCCTTTCCCCCTGCCATATCAGAACACATAGTGTTACTGGGCTTCTATTCAGAAAGCACATGACACAGAGGTGCTTGCCCTTTTGGAGGGTGGCCATGCAAGCTCTTCTGCTGAGAGTGGGCTTTCATTTGGGTGGAACGGCCTGATAGGAATAAGCCTAGTGGACTCTGACCCTGAGTTATCTCAGGGCTGCTCAGTTTCCCTGGAATTTGGACCTTGTTGGTCTTAATTTGGGTCCCAGAGTGCCATCAATGCCAGAATTAATGTCACAAAACGTCATTTGTTGATGTATTGATTGTATGAGAAGTAAGTGAAAGGTTTCTTCTCTCTGCTTTTTTTGGGCATTCTGCTTTCACACAGAGACAGATACCATTCAGGAGCACATGACCAAAGTTGCTTGCTGTCAAAAGTGCTCAGCATGAGAGCCATTTTGGGTGACAGTGACCCCACTATGTCACCAGCCTCCCTCTTATTGGGGGTGCAGAGGGCAGTCACAAGTGTCAGAGGAGGTGGTAGTCCTTATAACACCACTGGTAAATCTTCTTCAAGATGTCTTTGCCTATTATTTCCCTTCCTGGAGCCTCCGAGACTCCTCTGTGATCTCCCTTTGTTAAGGCTTTGTGATAGAAGCAGCAAGTGCAGTGTAGGGTGTCCCCCCTGTTACAGAGTTGCAGGAACAGGGCTGTTACTTGAGCTATTGGGACTTTACAGAAATATTTTATAGTTTGTGTTTCTCTTTTCACTCAGCTCTCTCAGGCCTCCACAGGTTGTTAAAAATCAGGTATTGGCATATAATACTAGAGAGATGATTTAAAGCTCAGTGCTTTGCATGTGGGTTCTGACAATCCTGCTTAAAATAGCAACAACAAAACAATAAGCCCTGAAATAATGAATTGTTGAGAAGGAAGTAGTCTGTCAATCTGTTAACCTACTTAGGAACAGAAACTTCAGCACTACCTACTTTTCTTGATATTCCATTTCTTCAACAAGTATCTATGTTTTTTTCTGCTAGAAAATTTGCAAAAAATATTGTACTACTAAACCAGTTAAAAAGAAATCTCAGCTCAGTCTAATTTGATGAGTGAGTTTTCTTAGGAAAAGAATAAACAAGAGCGGGAGGAGGTAAGAGGTGGAGTTTTCCAAGAACTGTTACTATCTAGAGAATTGCATTCAATGCTTCTTTCATTTGTATTTCAAAAGAATTTCCCGCCTGGGTTAGTGGCTCACTTTTCAAAGAACATTTTCATAAACACAAAGCTAATGAAATTAGACCATTGAGAATATTGTAGGTAAATAACCTTCAGTGAGAGTTGAAACCCCTCCATGTTAAGCAACAGGCAGCCACCCTTTCTCTGTTTCTCTGCTGATGCTTAGCAAAGTGCTGGAAGTCAAAGCCCCAGAAAAGAGGAGTAAACCAAAGTTGCTCTACCAGAAATCTACTGGAACTGTGCTGAGTTACCTAAGCTAAGTCTGCTTCAGTGCTTAGTATTTCTACTTAGAGAAGGGTATTATATAGAAAGAAGAGTAACCAAGAAAAATACATGTGTTGACTTGCTTTGGTATATGGTATTTGGTGATCAGTCACCCCAGCTTTTCTGATTCTACTAGGTTTGCAAATTTGAAAATGACAAAATTACTTTGCATATTCTTTTCTGGTAGGTGTTCTCCTGACCAGGATCCTCAGTGGTATCACTGGGCATTGTGTTGGTCAACTTCTGGTTAAATGGGTTCTTGTCAGACATCGGTCTTGTAAAATAAACTTCATGGCAGTTTTGTTTTCTTTCCTCTCTTCAGTAGGAATGGTATCCATACTGGTAGCAGAGAATTACTGGATTACAACAACACTGAGAGTTTGAAATTTCAGTAGGATCCTCTTTTAAACACTACATTATTTCATTGCACCTACAGCCCGCAACCAATTCTGTTATGCCCTGATCTGAAGACCTTGTGTGGACTTTTGAAGGACTCTCTCATTTTTTAATTTCTTTTGTAAAAGCAGATCTTTCAGAGAAATACTGCACTTTATCCCCCCTCATTTCACCACCTGATCTGCCCTTCTTAAACCTATGGTTTCTGTCAGTGTTTCTGTGCTATCCCAAGTCTCAGAAAAGCCTGTTAAAGGGCAGGAGTATTGTACTGTTGTGTCCTTTGAAGGGCTGGAACTTGGGGACACGGCAAGCAGTGAATGGGAAGTCACCAGCCCAGCATTTTAAACACCAACAGCGTGTGATCTGCATAAAAGTCCAAGTCATGGGCTAAAGGATGAGAATCCCATGCACATCTGATTGTTGAGTTAAAGGCCTCAGCTACAGGACTAGCCCGTTACTCACTTCTCTGAGGCAGGTGGCAAACCAAAAGATTACCTAGGCTGTCTCCACTGAGTGCATAGCAGTGCCCTCTCAGGCAGCATTTAGTGACTCGAACACCTCTGGTGGCCCTCTGGAGGTGAGGCTGGAGTTGACCCCAGGCAACTACAGGGCCATCAGTTGTCTTGCATGAGATAGAACATGCTATCTGCAGTGGGACCTGCTGATCTGAAATAGCATGTAGGCAGTTGAGCCCCTAACACAGGTGGACACACTTCAGCTCCTGTCCTCCGAGCTGTCTTTTCTGAGTGTTTGTGGAAGACAGACATGCATGCCAAGGAAGATACTTGGAAAAACAACATTGATATGTTGGGCTTTTCTGTGTGAAGTAAATTACCCCTTTCTGCATCAAAAAAAGCATTGATAGGATTCACCCCCTGTGATAGCTTACTTAAGTGGGTCCTGAGAGCCTTCCAAGGACCAGGCAATTTTAAGTGTCAGAGGATTTCAGTAACTGGCTTTCAATTTAAGAGCACTAAGGCAAGAGTTTTATTTCTTACAACTCTGGAGCAACTGACAAGGATTTTGAACTGCTTATAAAGGTCAGGCTGGTACTGTGAGTTCCCCCTTCCCATACCCCATACATAATGGTTACTTTTTCTTATGTCTAATATAGAAGTCCTTTTAGTTACTATGATGTTAAAGTCAGACTTGGGGAGTTCATTGTCTTTACTGGCACTTGACAGCTCAGGGGAGATGATGTCAAAATTTAAAGAGAGTGAAAAAGCTAATTTTATGCATGGGATAAAGAAATTCCCAATATTTTATTGTGAGTGGATACAAGTCCTCGGTCCTTTCCTTTATTACAGAGAAAAAGAGAGGGGGAGAGCAGCAGCAGCAACAGTAACTAGTACAGTAGATGAGCAGCACAGCAGTAACTGGCATATGATCCAAGCTGGCACTAACTAGTGAAGCTTGAAGGAATTAATTGGTTATATATGGGCCTTGCATGTGCTGAGTCAGTGGCTGTCCCTGTCTGTCTACATCACTGCTCTCACTTAGCCACTCAAAGCAATGACATTTACAGTGGCATCCTAATGCTACTACAAGGGGGGAAAATGCCACAAAATCATAAACAGGTTTTCTTTTTCACCAGGGTGGATTGGTTGTCCTCTCAGGAGTGCATCAGCCAGAGCTGGGGGCAATAGAGTCTGCAGTAGTCATAGAAGGTGCCAGTTTATTTGTCGTGTGGTGGAAAATGAGCTGCTACTACTGCTGCTGCTGGTGTAAAAATGCAGGGCAAGAGTAATTGTGTTCATAGGGAAGATTTTACAGCTCTGAGAGGCTAACTCTGGCTAGAGTAACTCCTGGAAGGAGCAGTGATCCCACTTGCATTTCTAATTTGAAATAACCTGAACCAAAAAGTACACATTCATTTCCTATATAAAAATCATAGTTATTAGAAAGAAAATTTTATGAGAAAACATACTCGCTGGGTTTTTCTTTCACATCTTAGAAAAGATTGTTCTTTTTCAGACACCTCGGGTAAAGTTTCTCTCACCTACCTCAGATACTGTGAGATACAGAATCTTTTCTGAGTCTCATCTCCACTCCTTCTGCAGCCAGGAGGGAGAAGCATGCAATGCCATCTGAAGGCCTCCATGACAACAACAGAGACACGGACACTAAGTAGTTCCAACCCATCACTTCATGCAGCTCTGCATGGGTCAGATGAATCCCACCCATTGCACAGTCATAGGCTCTTGCAAAATAACTCACCACTCTGTTATGATAAACACCATCTGACAGTCTTACCCTGTGCAGATGTAAAACACCAGTAGCCTCTCGCTGCAGCAACGCCCTGGTGCAGTTATTTGGCATCTGTGGCAAGGGCTTGGTGGTTTTGGTTTTTTTTCAGTTGACAGCTCTCTCGAAGAGGGAGACAGGCAATAAAAATGCTGTGAATGGTGAAGGAAATGAGTCTGACTCACTTCCACTCTCCCTTTCACGTTTTTAATCCTGCACAGTGCTGCCTATGACAGGAGTGGGATTATGCTGGGATTACTGATAGCAGTCTCTGGTCTGCTGTGTGGATGGTTTTCTTTTCAATCCTTTTTTTTTTTTTAATGAATCTGTTTCTATTTATTTTCCCATTTCCCTTCAGCAACTTCTGCCTGACAGATTTAAGTTTTTTCCCTTTCGTTTCCATTTCAGCTACAAGCACATATCCTCCTTGCAAGTAAATATGTTTTGGAAGGGAGAGGGAGGAAGAAATAAAGTTAACATCACTTTCCGCTTTGGTCTTAAGAAAATAAGGAAAAACTGGGAACATGAAAGGACTGATTTTGCAGTGAAACTGTGGTGTCTTTCAGAGGAAAGCACTGGCTGTTTTTATTTTCAGACCCTGGTTGAAACTTAAGAGAAAAGCAGGTGACACTGAGTTTATGTTGAGGCTTGGGAGGGGAATCAAACATGTTTCTTATTATTAGTTAGCAGTCTATAAACAAGGTGGTCTGCATCACTGCGCCTAAGGTCAGCGTTTGTGTGTACAAGCAGGAATCTGGGGTGATTAGGGCAATATCTGGTGCTTCTTGCTCGTTTAAATTGTCCTGTCAAGTAGTGTGTTACAAAGGAGTGCCTGGACACATGCAGCAGAAGGACATGAATGAATGTTCAGGGCGTGAAACCATCTGAAAGAATGTGCTAGGTGTTTGCACTGACTTTCACGTACCACAGGCTTGGAGATGCACAGAGCAGTGATAAAATAGTACAAGAAAATGCCCAAGAATGGTCATAAACAAGGCGAGGAGCTCATTATCAGCAGGTCCAGGTCCTTGCTGAGGGTCTGTGACTGTCAGTGCCAGAGGCCACCGCTGTGTGTTGGAGTACGTGTGTCCTCAGCAAACTGTTCTGCTTGAACAACTCAGCTCTCTGATGAAGATAACTTACTTCTAATCCTTGTTGTTACTTTCTGTATCTCCGAATAATTAAAGTACACAACGTGAAGACAATAGTGGGTTTAAATATCAAAGGAATCTTATCCTTGGCTGGAGCAACTTACCTTCTTTGGTGGCCTGCATGGAGAATACGGAATAGGGACAGAAATCTAAATATTTACTGCCATCTTTTGGGCAGTGTGGGTATGACTCAAAAAAGGAAAGGAGATCAATCGAGTTATTCAGTTGCCACCTCCTTCAGTTTTGTCAATTTTGGCCAACAAATACAACAGTCTGCCAAGGAGCATCAGGTTTTTGGTAGTTATCAGTCTGGGGCTCCAAGTCAAGCAAGATTTTTGAGGAGAGGTGCTTACTTTGATTTTAGCAAGCTGATAGGTTTGGGGAAGAAAGGTTTTAAGCACATCGACCGTTCTTCAGCTTTTGAGACAGTGTGTGTTCATTGCTTCAAAGTGTTAGGAGCTTTGTGTTTTGCAGCCTTTGCTGTGCTTTACTGCATAATTGGTAGAACTCCTGAAGTCAGAAACTGACTTTTTCAAGAAATACAAGTTCAGTGCTCTTTAATCTACAAAAATATTAGTGTCAATGTATGTTGTTTTATTTCAAAATGTGTATATTTTAGCAGGATATGCTTCATTACACTCCTTTGACCCTTTCTTCTTATATAGTGTACTGCTCAGTTGAAATACTGATTAGGTGACCTTTCCTAATTGCAATACAGTATTTTTCATCCACTTGAGGTGTCAGGTTGCATTTTTAACCTCACACCTAATCAAACTTTCAGTCCTGCAGGCCGTGCAGAGACAGGTTTCCTGCTGTGGTAATAACCCCTTCCTTGAAACTAGTTTGAATTTAATTGCAGTGAGGTACTTCACTCTGTCCAAAAGGCCATGTCTCCTAGTGGACAGAACCTTCTTTTAATGCATTGAGATCAGTTATTACAGCTTTGTAGAAAGATGAAATTTTTATCTGGGATTCATCTATATTGCTGATTTAAGTACAATTATCATCTGATTCTTACCATCTGGATCTCCACATTGTGCCACAAGGGAGTGTTAAAAACTTGCCCAATGTAAAACTTGGTGTGTTGTTTATTGAAGGGAGTGGCAGCATAATCATCCTTCCACTCACTCTTGTTCAGCTTGCACTGAGCAAACAGAATATGACTCTGTCTTGTGTTTGTTTGTTTTAGGTGAAACTTCCTTTTCCTGTTGATCAAATCACAGATCTTCCAAGGAATGATTTCCAGATGATGATAAAGATGCACAAGCTAACCTCAGAGCAGCTCGAGTTCATCCATGATGTCCGCCGGCGCAGCAAGAACCGAATTGCAGCTCAGCGCTGCCGCAAAAGGAAACTGGACTGTATTCAGAACCTAGAATGTGAAATCCGCAAGTTGGTGAGTTACGTGCTCTCGCCGCAGCCCTGCTCACCCTCGCGCAGCAGCTTGCAGGGCACCAACAGCAATTCCTTCCCGGAGTTTAGTGGGTTCAGTCAGTTTGTACACACATGAGCAGAACCACTAGTATGAAAATTTAATACGCAAAAATGTATTGGTATGTGCATATATAATATATACGGAAAGCACAAAATTCCAGTGAAATGAGGCCTAAATATGTTTGTTTTTCTCAAGAGCAGTTTGTTGAGCGAGTTGGAAGAGGAGGGAAGCCTGTATCACGGCTTCCTTCTAGCAGTTTAACTTAACCCCAGTACTTACAGTTTCATCTACAAAGGCATTTCCTCATCTGAGCCCCATTTTCTTGCCTAGCTACCATAACAATCTGTTGGTCAGGGATTCATGGAGTGCCCAAAAGAGGTAGATATGAAGAGGTCTTCAGAGGTTGTCTGGTCCAAACAGGGCTGTGGCAAGGCCAGCTTCAACTCTATGTATTTTCTTACTCTTTGGCATGCTAGAAGGCAAGTCAGCATTTTCAGGACATTTCAGTTTGCTGTGCCTTTTCTTCAGCTCTTTCATTCACTGAGCAAATGACAGAAATGGCAAGGGAAGTGAAAAGCCAGGAATGTGAATATCCAGACAAGTGGAATCCCTTGGTGTAGGTCAGTGAACTGGCAAGGGTATGTTCCTTCTTGTCCCTGCTGTCTTGTTTCCTCTAATGCTCCTAGTGTTCCATGGAGTGAACTCCTCATTTTTCAAGGAATCTGGAGTAGTCCACTGCAGACAGAAGAGCAAAGTGTGCCCTACTCACTGGCCAGAGCATGTCAGGGGATGTCTCCTGTGTGCCAAGATGTCAGTGGACAGCGCTGCCACATTTTAATCTAAGATTAGAGTAAGGTGACTGGAGCAAGGCTGAGTGACTGCTCAGAAAATTCCTCTCTCTTTCAGTCATGGTATGGACACTTCAGGTGTGATTTGGGTGGCTAAACACAGATGTTTACAATATAGACACCTGCACTGGAGCTTGTTGTCCTGGTTTTCATTATAGTCAGTGTAGAGAAACTTGACCAGTCTTATTTGTCTCCTCCTGCAGCAGAGGAGGTGACTTATTGTGCAGAAGTGCCTGTTCGTTTTCATCACTAAACAAGATCACTCAGAGAGCCATGTCATGTACAGACCTCTTAACTATAGGCACTTTATGTGAAAAAACTCCCTTCCTTTGTGACAGTTCCCCTGTGGTCTGAGGGACTTGCTCCTGTTCCCCTGCCATAGAATCATAGAATCACCCAGGTTGGAAAAGACCTCTGAGATCATCAAGTCCAACCCTTGATCCACTACTGCCATAGTTACTAGACGGTGGCACTAAGTGCCACATCCAGTCTCATCTTAAAAACCTCCAGGGACGGAGAATCCACCCAGCTGTAACAGGGAGGTGACACTTACCTCACAAGCTGGATGGAAGACTTAAAGCATCAAGGCTTGCAAAGCCTTCAGATGCTGTGCTGCTGAAGCCCTGGGGGAAGAAAAAGAAACAAAAATCAAAACATTGTTGAGAGTAGTACTCCACTGATGCAAAACAAACAAAACATCAAAGATAAACAAAATAGTGAGCAACTGCTTCCTGA